GCCATGACACCTCCATGGGTGGTGCTAGCCAATGCCCTTTGTCTCGGCAGTGTTAGCAGGCCGTGTGCTCGTGTGTGTGTTTCAGTAGCTGTGGCAGTGTGGCTGGCAGGGTGTACATACATCAAATGGAGTGGGGTACCGGTGGAAACACGGCTGTGGTATGTGCTTCCACTGGTGGCGGCTGCCTCTGTCACATATTTACCTATATATCAAACTACCACACAATCTTGAAAGTTATATGTCCAGTGTATGAGATGTTCTGTTGCTTGATATTATTGCTAATACTTGTATTGTCTGATTTAATTTAACCATTGGATGTGTGGTGGTATCTTTTTGTGGTTTTAGTTTGTATTTGTTTGATGACTAATTTGAACATCTTTTTATGTGCTTTTCATCATTCACATATCTTCTTTAGAGAAGTATCTGTTCAGATCTTTCCCCCATTTTCTTATTGACTTCTCAAGTCTCCAGAATTCTTTATAAATTTTTAATATAAATCTGTCTCAGATACATGTATTAAAAATACATTTTCCTAGTCTGCAGCTTGTCTTTTTATTTTCTTAATGGTATCTTTTAAAGGACAAACACTTTGAATTTTGATGTCCAATTTAGCAATTCTTTATTTTTCATCATTTGCCTACCCGTTGTTGTGACAGTTTTCTTCTTTGTTTTCTTGGTGTCCTTCTCTGTAAAATTGAGGTAATGTGAGAGTTAAATGAATTGATACATGTAATGTACTTTGAAAATGCCTCACATTTAATAAAAATGGTATAGTGTTAGCTGCCATTATTGTTACCACAACTCCTTTACTCATAAGTTGTTCTTGAGGCTTTTGGATCCTGTCTCTACATCCCTGTCTCATCTCCATTGCTCTTAAAAATTTGTCATTGCCATTTTCTTTAAGGGTCTTTTGTTTATCAAAAAGGACTAAAGTTAAGATTTTCTATATATTAGAGAAAGGATATCCTAGCATTCCATGTAGGGAATGATTTATATTACATGCCACTGTTTTGTAATCTACCAATTTACCAGTGACTTGGTTTCCTTTCATATGTGATGTTACAGTGAGATTTATAGAAATTTTTGCCATTTCCTTTCCCCAAAAGGTCTAAAGCCCACCATGAATGTCATGATTTCCCCCTTTTGTTAAGGCTCCTTTGACCATCTCTGACATTGGCTTCCACTGTGTTTTATGCATACCTTGTATGCCTTTTAGTGTACTATGGAAAATGGCATTTTAGAGTGTGTGGTTTTTGTTGTCAGTTTTGCTAAACAGAATTTAGAGGCTGGATTTTGATTGAGGTACATTAATTGGATTAAAAATATCACGAACATAATTAGCATGAAGGCAGTAATAGTTATACCAAACTTGAGTTTCAAATGAGTATAAACTAGGTCAAGGTAAGATGTTCTTCTTAAAATACATTACAGTATGATAATGATCCACCATAGTTGTTTGAGTCTGTCTCAGAAATGGAAATATTGTCCTGATTCTGTTCTCTATTATTTTGACCAAATATTTAATCAGTCTATCATTTTCCTATTTATAAAGTGAGAGATATAATATCTGCCTAGCAAAAATAATATTAAGCAATGAGGTAGTATTTAGCAAGTGATGTAGTTCTTGTTAATAAACTCAGTATAATTTTTAGTCTATGGTCCAGATCTTATTGATCTCTTTTCTGAAAGTATCCCCTCCATCTGAGCCCCTCTCCTGAGCCCTGGATCAGGTACTGGGCCATCCACAAAGTCTTGCATAGTGCTGGCAATGAATAGGCAGTTGGTAAGAGTGTTGTATTTCACCAAACTTTCAATTTTACCCCTGTTTCTTGTGTCTTTTTTTGTCTTTTTCCTGTGGATTCTATACACTCAAGAAATCAATATTCTTATGGGGGGGAAAAAGCAAAAAAAAACTTACTGCAGCTGTTCTTCTTACAGTTTCTGTCTTTATGCCTTTCACACTAAATGTTTTAAGAGAGTCAGTTATTCTTAGTTTCCCATTTATCTTTTTAGTTTTTATAATTTAGTTATTGTTAAACTGTTTTAAGATATGTCTGATAACCTTAGGCCTCATAATCTTAGTGTATTTTCACATTTTCTAGCTTTTGTGTAATATCTCCTTATAGTTCTTCTTTGCTTCCTCTGTAACACTTTCCCAGTCTTTTTCCTCCTATCTGTCCTTTACATTTTTATTTTTCTTTGTTTTGTTTTTAATGAATTACTCCAGATTTTATCTTCGTCTGCTTTTTCTTCAACAAAGAAGATAGCTGAGTGAGGGAGGGAGTTAGAATATTTCTAGGGCTTCATTTATTTGCCTTTAAACAGGTGTTGCTTTACTGAAATATAGCTGTGATTTTTCAGTTACGTTTTGGATATCTCCATTTTGGTATTAGCTGAATTTTTCATAGTAAAACTAACTGTTGAATATACTTGGTCCTTCGTAGAAGGCAAGCTGTCTTATGTTCATCACTATATCTTAATTGTCTAGCATAGTGCTTGGTACATAGTTGGCAATTAATACACGTTTATTATATGAACAATTGATATTTTCCTGTCACCTGAAAGTTAACATGTTCAAAATTGAGCACATTAGAATCTGGAATTTTCCTTTGCTTCTGTATCTTCCTGTTGTTTGAAGCGTAGATCAAATGCCCCCTCTTCTCTAAAGTTTTCCTTAATCATCACAGTCAAAAATCTGTTTCCCTATTCTCTATTGCTTTACCAAATTATACTTTTATTGTACCTTAATTCTGGATTACATTTTACTTATTTATGTACAGAGTTTGCCGTACATAAGATTGAGGTCAGGGGCTAACTTCTCCAAGACAAATTAACTATTTAAAATAATGTAAGGTTTTGGGAAAGGAAAGGGTTGAAAAGTGGTTTTGTGTCACTGTTCCTTCTGCATAGAATCCCCTCCGCATCTTTCTACTTTTCACTCATTCTTCAGCCTTAGCTGAGGCATTTTTTAATCCAGGTTTTTCTGAGCCGACTTTAAGTCTTGAATAGGTGACTTTTCTTTGTATTCCTCTATTATTAACTCCTTTAATAAATAATTATTGAGTGCCTTTAATGTGCAGACACTGTGCTAGACAGGCCTTTTAGAAACAAAAAGGCAGGACTTTTGTGGCTGAGTATGTAATGTTTAGCTCATTATACAATTACGTATTACACAGATAAGGAAACTGAGGCTCAAATAAGTTAAGTGATTACACTAAGGTTACCAAATTAATAAATGGGAGAGGCTGGTTTCAGACTTTGGACTTTCTGAGTCCTTGGTGTTCTTTCCATTATACTTTGGCATTCCTCAGTGAAAATGTTTTTCGAAAGATTTGAACCAAATCTTTCTAAGCTCTGGTATTTTGTTTCTTTTCCAGCACCACACAGCATTCTCTTAACCATTTACTGTTATTTAGCAAAGGGGATATGTGTAGATAGAACCATTGCTGTCAACAAAAAGAGGATAGTTAACCTGGTACTGGGCAGAAATACTTCCATTGAATTTGTGTCTTTGAAAACTGATTTTAGCATTTGCTTTACTCAAAGGATTTATAAGCCTCCAGAGTTGTCAGGGTTCTATGGTATCTATTGTCTATATTAATCTGTGGATTTCTTTGTTTTTTTCCACTGTAACATTACAGCTCTCAAAATTCATAGCAAACACCCTACCCTCTATTTCCGTTCAACAGTATGATGGTATGAATTTGACCCACCTCTGGCAAATACTTAAGTTAATATTTCACAAAATACCCAAACTCCTGTTGGCAATGGATTTCCAGGCAGCTGATAAAACATTGAATTGATAGGTGTATTTTGTTTTTGTGGGTTATTCATTTTGATGTGGATACAGAAGGGTAGGGAAGGAGAAGTTGTTATAGTATAAAGACAGAGTTGGAAAAGTTGGGCTTATGTTGTTGTTTGTTTTTGTTTTGTTTTCCTGAGAATATTCTCTGTTACCCTGCAGTAAGCTGTCTACAGTCCAGGATTTGACAGCCTGCTTGCTTAATAGCCTTCAAAAACATCCATGTCCTGTCATACCTGTGCTATGTTCTGACTACTTGGTACTGCTTAGAGATTAGTTTTAGGGATGTTTTATATAAGGAAACCTCTCCTCTAATGCTGCCTCCTTTTGTCACCTGTTAATAGTCATGGTGTTAGGTTTATTGAAGGACTTTTGCCTCTATATTCTTTTCTTCTCAATGTTTTTTTCATTAGGAGTAATGGCCAGGCATGGTGGCTCATGCCTGTAATCCCAGCACTTTGGGAGGCCGAGGCGGGTGGATCACCTGAGGTCGGGAGTTTGAGACCAGCCTGGGCAACATAGTGAGACCTCATCACTATAAAAAGTGATTAGGAACCCCATCTCTACTAAAACATGGAGAAACTCTGTCTCTACTAAAAATACAAAAGTAGCCGGGCTTGGTGGCTCATGCTTGTAGTCCTAGCTAGTTGGGATGCTGAGGCAGGAGAATTGCTTGAACCTGGGAGGTGGAGATTGCAGTGAGTTGAGATAGTGCCATTGCACTCTAGCCTGGGCAACAAGAACGAAACTCCGTCTCAAAAAAAAAAAAAAGGAAAGAAAGAATAATGATCATAACATGAAATAGTACTTTCATTTGTGATTTTATATCTTGCTCTTCTCAGTTTGACAAAGGAAATGTTTATAATATTAAGTTACTGATTTTTCCTGTTTAGACATCCTTAAACTTTGGGTTCTGTGGGTGTTTTGCCTGAATTAGAACTGTGGAATTAGACTTTATGACTCGAGGTTTGGCGATGTTACATGTCAAATGCATGTTTTTTAATTTTTTAAAATACAGTTTTATAACTGAGAAATATAGAAACATGTATTTAGTAGACAACATTTTGCCTCACTAAAAAAATTAGTATTATATTTAAATAAATTTTTAAAAATAAACGTATTTCCTTTGAAAGTGTTCTCCATCACATTTGGCATTTATCTGTTTCTTTCAATGGCCTTCTCTGTTTCTTGTTTGCAGGCAGCTATCAATGGTGTAATACCCCAGGAAAATGGCATTCTACAAAGGTATGTTATAAAGTGCTTACCAGTTAAGATGACTTAGCAGAACAAAAAACAACTAACTGTTAATTTTTTTGTTTTATTTTTTAATGGAGCATTGATTTGGGGTATATAAGTTCATTAATATTGTTCTTTCAGATATTTCTATGTATTATATTAATTCCCTAAAGTCTTCAACTTTTTACTGTATAAAATTACTACATATTTGGTAACACCATCTTTTAAGGTGGTTTTAATTTTTAAGAAAGCTTTTCAAGCTTATTCTTTGATTTATAAGATGAAAGGAACTGAATTTTTTAAACTACTAGCACTGGCTATTGGCTTAATAACCCCAGAATATGGTTGTCAAACTTAACTATACAGGCTTTATCTCCAGGCTTACTACAGACATTTTCTCCTTCCCTTTTAGGTTCTAAACCAAGTATATGATAATTTGCAACAATTTGAGGCAGTTCTTAATAATGTAACTTTTTAGAGTACTGAACTATTTCACTTGAAGTATCCAGTGTTAACAAGTGGAATGGTTTTAGAGGTTTTGTGTTATGGCCAGAAGGTAAAATTGGAAGATGTGGCCAAGAGAATTATAACAGTTACAACGTAATTCCTTAAGTTAAAAATAAATTCATGACTTTTGTCTCCTTAAAAATTGGAGACTCTGGTTCTAGATTAAAGAACACTCTAAAGTCTTAGGAGGTAAAACCATTCTCCCTTCCAAGTGTAGTTTAATTACTTGATTTTTCCCGCCTTTCCTATCAATTCAAACTTTGGCTTGAATTTGGGTGGCTGGGATTTCTAAGTCACTGAAGCATGATCTGCTAAGTGCAGATGAGGCAAACAGAAACAGCAGATTAGGAATGAGGTCGTTTTGGAGAGCGAGAAAAGTACTCTTGCAGAAACATCAGGAAGTTCACCATGAACTGCAAAACGTGCTGTTCTTCATAAGAAACCATATATTTAGGATGGAAGCAAAATTCTGTTTGATACCTGTACCACCTTTAATGATTAATGGTTTTTAGATGAAAGCAATGATAAAACAGACCTATACCCTCATTCCTCTCTTTTAAACTATCAGAAAGATTTTCATCCAGAATAAATGCGGCTGATTTCCAGAGTTTCTACCAACTTCTGTTTGTTTAATTTTTAGTTTGTTGTTTGTTCAAAAACATTCAATTCTATCGAAACCCTTGCCTAGAAAGTGAATCAGATGAACTTCCTTTATGGTCATTTTTTTCTTAGTTTAGAAAGTTTTACACTGTTAATATCACTCCAGTTTTATTTTTGAGTAAATGTTATTGCCACTTTTTGTGCCAAAGTTTTTGCTATGCAAAATCTGTGTGGATTCAGCTACTGGATTCTGAATACATATTGGATATATCATCCAATTAATAGCATTTGCCATAGGTGAACTGTAGAAACTTCTTTTCCCCTGGAAACATTCCGTCTTTCCTGTCACAGATTATACTTTTTGTTTAATATATTTTATGACTAGAAATTCAGTATTAAACTGATTTCTCATAAAGTTACTATAATATTTGGGGTTGAACTTTGATCAGAGTAGGATTTTGTTGGTTTTGTTTGCTTTTTTTGAAGGAATGAATCATATGTCTACATGAGAAAATCAGTTGTATCTAGTAATATTCTTCAACTATTTCCTTCCTAACATGGTTCTTTAGCTTTGAAATCATTGTGGATTTAACATAACTGAAAATTACTCTTGTATGTCTACTGACCAGAGGAAAACAAGAGGGCTCTTTGTGTACTTTCTCATAGGCTTAACACTGAAAGTAGAAGGCACTAGGCTAGAAATGGTATATTCAGGCAGTTAAAAAGATCTTTGTTTTGTATGTTTGCTTTTTATAATAAAGTTGAATTTATATAGTCTGTGTATACAACTGTTAAATTGTTATTCCATCCCTTACTTAACAAAGAAAGGAGGTATCAAATACTATAGTTTAAAGAAATTACTATATAAAGCAATATTCTCATGAGATAATGAACTTTTGGTAGGAAATAAATACCTACCTCACTGATACATGTGTTGATGCCAAATTCCTTTGACTGAAAATTATTATTATTATTATTATTATTTTGTTTTGAGAGAAAGAAGAGCCAGTATGTGCCTTATAGCTTTTCTTGAAGTCAGGTTTTTGTATGAATCCAGGAGGGAATATGATTTTTAATGTAACCATAAACTTCAAGGGAAAGAAACTTTTTTTGTATGCTTAAGGCAGTGTGCTAGGCAATTGACATATTTTTATTCATTTAATACTCACTACAACCTGTAAGAGGTAAATGTTTATATTTTATGTATGAGGAAATTCAAAGTTAGAGAGTTTACATAGGCTTGCCCAAGTTCACAAGCATAGAAGCAGGTGGTGAAGACTAGATTGTCTTATTTTAAAAGCCATGCTCTATCTTCTCTATTACTCTGTCTTCTTCAAGATCAGTCAGTGAGGTATTTCAAAACTTTTAAGATTTTTCCTTTGTGGGCTGGGCATGGTAGCTCATGCCTATAATTCTAGCACTTTGGGAGGCTGAGGCTGGCAGATCACTTGTGGTCAGGAGTTCAAGACCAGCCTGGCCAACATGGTAAAAACCCTGTCTCTACTAAAAATAGAACTTGAACCCGGGAGACCAAGGTTGCAGTGAGCCAAGATTGCACCTCTGCCTTCCAGCCTAGGCAACAGAGTGAGACTCCATCTTAAAAAAAAAAAAAAAAAAAAAAAAAAAAGATTTTTATTTTGGATAAAGAAGGTGAAATTCAATATATGTACATAATGTCTTTCTTCCACAGCTTTGTTTTTTATAGTTACTATTTTAGTTGTAAGCTATTAAAGGCAAATATTATTATTCCTCATTTTACAGGTAGATAGGATAAGTCATAAAGTGACTTGGCCCAGATGTTACAGTGTGATGTTGATGGAGTCAGGAATATAAGCAAGGCTTCTGGCTGTTTCTCCAAGGCTTATTTCACTAGACAGTATATTGCTAACACAGCATACTGTGTGTAACTTATGCAGTCATAAATGTAAACTATTCATTCAGTCATAAACAAACATTGAGTATGTGTATTTACATGGTCTGGTATATTATTTATTTAACATATTGTCCAGGGCCTCTTTAAAAATTATTTTTGGATATATTTTTAGGAAGAAATGTTAGTGAATTACTTGTATAATTGGAGAGCTGATGCCATGTTTTCAAAAAGTAAACTTTATAAATTAATAGCATAATTTAACCACTCACTAAGTGGATGGTATTTATTAACTCATACTTGTTTTATTACCCAGACAGGTGTACAGTATATTCATTTGTCCATTGTTTAATTCATGGAGAACACCTAGATAAGACAACATTTATTTTCAAACCTTGACCACTAGGCTTTCAGAATATATAAATGCCCAGCTTTTTTGACTTAGAAAATAGCCATTATAGCCAGTTAGTCTCTATGTATTGCTTTGTGTAATTTCCATTTTAAAAACCTGATTTAATTGATTCACAAGTTTATCTCTAAAATAAATGTGGAGTGTCTTTTTTTTTTTTTTTTAGGAGATGCCTAAAGATTTTGCCATGGCATAGACTTTAAAAAATTGAAATAATTAGCAAGTACAGAGTTCCTGTTTACTTTTCTTTCTGTTCATTGCCTTCCAAGAGCCTGAGTTGTTTGTAGAGGAAAGTTGAGTAAGGATAAAAACACTTGGTTGAAGTTTTAGAACTAAATTTCTACATAGAGCTTCCAAATCGGTGGCATTTTTATATTTATTTATTTTTAAGGTACAGGGATCTTGCTATGCTGCTTAGGCTGGACTTGAACTCCTCCTGAGCTCAAGCAATCTTTCTGACTCAGCCTCCTGAGTAACTGGGTCTACAGGCACGTGACACCTTGCCCAGTTTCCCATTAGTATCTTTTTGTTGTTGTTGTTGTTGTTGTTGTTGTTGTTGTTGTTTTGGGAGACAGGGTCTTGCTCTGTAGCCCAGGCACAATCACAGCCTTGACTTCCTGGGCTGAAGTGATCCTGCCACCTCAGCCCCCTGAGTAGCTGGTACTATAGGTGCTCACCACCATACCTAGCTAATTTTTGTATTCTTTGTAGAGATGGAGTCTCATGATGTTGCCCAGGATTTCTAGACTCCTGAGTTCAAGCCATCCTCCCACCATGGCCTCACAGAGTGCTAGGATTACAGGCATGAGCCACACTATACCTGGCTTTCAATCAATATCTTTTTTTAAAAAAAGATATTTATAGATTAGTGAATCTATAATGATTACATTATTAGATTATTAAATAGAAAAGAATAGCAAGGCCAAATTATAAGATCATGGTTTTCACAGCTGGGAAATTTTTAAAATGCATTTACTCTTTTTTGATTCGATAATTTTGGATGTTTTTGTATTCTTTGGATCTCATTAAATGTTAGTGAAAACTGATGGGATCATTCATTGACTGGTAAGATCTCTCTCTTCCTCTCATTTTTTGGATTGCCTTTTTGTTTTGAGACGAGGTCTCACTCTGTCACCCAGGCTGGAGTGCACTGGCATGATCTCAGCTCACTGCAACCTCTACCTCCCAGACTCAATTGATCCTCCCACATCAGCCTCCTGAGTAGCTGGTCTATAGGCATGTGCCACCAAGCCTGGCTAATTTTTGTATTTTTTGTAGAGATGTGGTTTTGCCCCAGCCATGTTGCTCAGGCTAGTCTTGAACTCCTGAGCACAAGTGATCCTCCTGCCTCAGCCTCCCCAAAGTGCTGGGATTACAGGTATGAGCCACCGCACCTGATCTACCCTAGCAATTTTACCAGAGGGAATTTTAAATAGGGAGTCAGTTACACAGATATGGAGAAGTTTGAAAGATCAGAAAAGGGATAGTGAGACAACCTAGATAGAATGACTGCAGGAGGCAGCTGTACCACCAAGCGCAGGTATGGGTGGTTCTTTCTGCTTGGCAAGGAAAGGAGCCCAGGGCAAGAGCAGACTCATAGCTTCAGTGAGAAGGGTAGGGATG